ATAATTCATGCTATTTTAAGGCACTAAGTTTTTGATAAATACATATACTGATGTCTGTATATTAAAAATCAGATAGACAGACAGACAGACATTTGAATTTATAGTTTAATACCTTCCCCCAAAAAGTTTCATGACAGGCTTCATTGGTAAATCTACCAAATATATAAGGAAAATTTTCACACCAACTCTATACAAACTCGCACAGGATAGAATAGAAATACTTCTCATTTCATGAGGGCAGCATTACTCTGATACCAAAACTAGATAAAAAACATTTCAAGAAAAGAAAAATACAGGCCAATATCCCTCATGAACATGGAAGCAAAAATGCTCAGAAATGTATTAGCAAAACAAATCCAGCAACATATAAAAGTGATAAAGCATTATGACAAAACGCAGTTCATCCTGGGAATGCAAAATTGTTCAGTATTCAAAAATCAACTGATGTAATTCACCTTATCCATAGAAAAGGAAGAAAAACCAAGAGTCTGGTTCAAGCTAGCAACATAGGAGGATCTTGAAGTCGCCTCCTCTCGCAGGCACACCAAATCTATAGCCACATAGGGAGCAATTTCCTGTGGGGGAAAAGACTCACCTCTCTCAGTGACTCCCACATATTGGACAAACGAGGAAAAAACTCACACTGAAGCAGACAGGAGAGGCTGAGACACAATCTCACCACAAACCCTACCCCTAGCGCAACAAGCCACAAACCGGGCAGGAAACTCCAATTCCGGAGCTTCTCCCTAAGCAGCTAAAGGCTTGAGGCATCCCAGCATCAGGTACCCCAATTTTAACACCTACACCCGACAAGCCCCCCACATAGCTAGCTTTGAAAACTATCAGGACTCACATCCATGAGACCCACCCACAAGGCTATAGCAAACTGAACAACAGTTCTGAAAAGGTTGGCATAGACTCACCCACCCAAGGCCAGCATGGAGGCAGCTAACTGAAAAGCACCCAGATTTCTGTGAAAGAGGCTTATGTGAGTGTCTTTAAGTATCAGCCTGAGGGGCAAGCCTCTACTTTAACGCACATCTAACGGCCCCCTGCAATATTCTCCGGAGATGGAGGCCAGCAGGTGCCATGTCGCACCGTCCCTCTGCCTCGCTCCAGGCCACTGGTGTCTCTGGGGAGGAGCTTAGACACTCATCTGGTGCCTCAGTTCTGCAGCTGCCACCCAGATGTGTCTACATCTCTAGTGGCCAGTGTGGCTCACACTCACAGGTCCCACGGAACTGTAACAGATGGAGAAAAGGTTCTTACCTGGCTGCTGCCCCCAGGGCACAGCAGAGATGCAAAGACTGAGGTGCTCAGTCTCTCTGAAAGAGGTTGATTATTTATCTTCATAGCTGCATCCTAAGGGGCAGACTTCTAATTAAACACACACCTAAGGGCTGACTGTAAATCTCTCTGGAGACCTTGGAGGGCGGGCACTGTCTTCACACTGTCCCTCTGCCACGCTCCAGGTTACCAGCATGTCCCGTAGGGGAGCGTGTGTGTCTATCTGGTATCCTGGGTTTTGTGGCTGCTGCCCAGGGGACACCCTTTGATCACCCAGCTCTGGTGGCCAGCGTGGCTTGTACGTGTGGGGCTATAACAAATGGAGAGACAGTTCTTGGCGGGCTGCCCCCACCAGGCACTGCACAGACAGCAGACAAAAACACCCCCCAAGCCTTTCTGTCAAAGAGGCCTGTTTGCTTGTCTTGGAGCCTCGGCCTGAGGGCTAGGCTTCCGGCTTGGCACACTTACAGGGACCTCAGAGGTCTCGCCAGGGATGGGTGCAAGCGGGTGCCATCTTTGAACGCTCTCTGTCTCACTCCAGCCTCCAGTGTCTCCCAGGGAGCTTGTGCACGGTGCAACAACGTTTGCAGCTGCTGCTCAGGTGACACTTCTCGATCACCTGTCTCTGGTGGCCAGCAGCGCTTGCACTGATATGTCCCACAGGACTGTTACAAAGAAATTATCCTTAACCGGCTACCCCCACTCAGAGCACAGCATGAGACAGCAGCCTGAAAGGAAGAAGTAAAACTGTCATTATTTGCAGATGACATGATATTAAAAAGAAAACCCGTAAGTCTCCACCAAAAAAAAAAAAAGGCTAAAACTAATAAATGAACTCAGTAAAGCTGCAAGATAAAAAAATCAATACACAAAAACCTGCAGTATTTCCATACACCTACAGTGAACAGAAAGAGAAATGAAGAAAACAATTCCATTTACAATTGCATCAAAAAGAATAAAATACTTAGGAATAAATTTAACCAAGTAGATAAAAAATATCCTGTACACTGAAAACTACAAGACACTGCTGAAAGAAATTCAAGAAGACACAAATAAATGAAAAGATACTCCATGTTTATACACTGGAATAATATTGTTAAAATGTCCCAAAGCAACCTACAGATTCAATGAAATCCCTACCAAAATTCCAATGGCATTTTTCACTGAAACAGAACAAACAATTCTAAAGTTTGTATGGAGCCACAGAAGACTCCAACAAAGCTGAAGGCATCATATTCCCTGATTTCAAACTATATCACAAAGTTATAGTAACCAAAACAGTAGTATGTTATTGGGCTAAAAACAAA